CGAAACGTCAATCAACCTGGTCACAGCAATTCGACATCGCCAAAATAATTACGAAAAACAATTGTGTTAAGACATTTACTTGTTATTATTTTTCAGTAAATATATTCAACATCCTGCTTACCATACTTTTCTTATTCTATCCGAGTGAAACTAAATTTGTCATCATGACGAGATGGAAGCCCGACTAATCAATGAGACCTGAGAAAGTAATTGTTGGCATAATTCAACGTAGGCGAAATCTTACTGCGATTGCTACAGCTCAACCTATTCAATTATTCGTCTCGTGTACACTTCGTCTTATACTATACGTTAACACCCGTAATCATATGGATTGATATCACGCTTTAAGTGAAATAATAGCAATGCACTACTTTTGAATACACTTAACCTTATACGAAATCGAACTCCACTGCTATGAGTAAGTTCTATTCTTATTTTTCAAATACTGAAGTAAGGTATTTTTGCCATTGATCCCTACAGATTTACCTATGACTAGGAGACGTAATCGCGTAACTTTAGGCAGACGTTTAGGCTTGACCAAAGCGCTTATAATTCACCACTTATATCGATCGATAGTGTTCCTACAGAATTACACTTACGTATAGTAACGAGTTCATATCCTAGAAATTACCGTTCTGGCATGCCGTACTCCCACTGCAAGAATATCAAGTAGAACACAAGAATATTAGATAGAAAATTTCATTCCACTGCAACGCAGACAAGTTTATTTACATGTATAGGCTGAGCACAGTACAAGATGAAAATCTTCGTTTGGGAATTATCTCCCATTATTCGACGGAAACTTCCCAGTGTCCAAATCGCGTCACCTTTAAATTCTTCGCAATTCAAGTAAACAGAACTGTATGGCCACATCCAAAGTTATCCGGTATCACGAACTGCAAAACTGAATATCTGCAAGGTTATAAGTGAATGAGCGAACTTACCTTCAATTGCTGTCGCATGTAGAATCAATTCCTACAACTGATTATGCAAATGTATCTGGTCATAAATCGTAAAATACTCGTCAATGTTTTTCGGATGTCTTTGTCCGAATGCGACTACATCTGCTTGCACTCAATTCAACTAACTGAAGCTCGGTAAATTTAAAACGCGATAGCAATTATCCTCACACTTGTGGTCGTTTGTAATTAAGTTCAGCTTAGACCAACGTTAACGAAGTGCGAAAACGTCTGATTTCTACACCAGTGCATAAATATCGAGTCTTAATGAGGTTTGACAGTTCTTTTTACTTGAATTGCGAAGAATTTAAAGGTGACGCGATTTGGACACTGGGAAGTTTCCGTCGAATAATGGGAGATAATTCCCAAACGAAGATTTTCATCTTGTACTGTGCTCAGCCTATACATGTAAATAAACTTGTCTGCGTTGCAGTGGAATGAAATTTTCTATCTAATATTCTTGTGTTCTACTTGATATTCTTGCAGTGGGAGTACGGCATGCCAGAACGGTACTTTCTAGGATATGAACTCGTTACTATACGTAAGTGTAATTCTGTAGGAACACTATCGATCGATATAAGTGGTGAATTATAAGCGCTTTGGTCAAGCCTAAACGTCTGCCTAAAGTTACGCGATTACGTCTCCTAGTCATAGGTAAATCTGTAGGGATCAATGGCAAAAATACCTTACTTCAGTATTTGAAAAATAAGAATAGAACTTACTCATAGCAGTGGAGTTCGATTTCGTATAAGGTTAAGTGTATTCAAAAGTAGTGCATTGCTATTATTTCACTTAAAGCGTGATATCAATCCATATGATTACGGGTGTTAACGTATAGTATAAGACGAAGTGTACACGAGACGAATAATTGAATAGGTTGAGCTGTAGCAATCGCAGTAAGATTTCGCCTACGTTGAATTATGCCAACAATTACTTTCTCAGGTCTCATTGATTAGTCGGGCTTCCATCTCGTCATGATGACAAATTTAGTTTCACTCGGATAGAATAAGAAAAGTATGGTAAGCAGGATGTTGAATATATTTACTGAAAAATAATAACAAGTAAATGTCTTAACACAATTGTTTTTCGTAATTATTTTGGCGATGTCGAATTGCTGTGACCAGGTTGATTGACGTTTCCGGACATCTGCAAATAAACGAATAAAGTGTATTTTTTAAATCGCTGAAGTTAGAAAAAAGTAATGTAAAAGTAAAGCGCTTTATATTTGCCTACCTTTGCTGAAAAAGGTTCATTCTCCTTTCTCATTCTTTGGTCATGACAGCATTCTTCTGTGGTTTTCACTGTCACACACATTGTTCATCTTTAAAGTATAGCGCCAAGCACCTAAAAAAGGCATTCTGTCTTTAGGAACATACGAGCGTCCTCGTGGCAATGCATGAAGGGATGCTCACCTAAGAGCACGGAAATAAATGCGCTCCAATTCCTCTCCACTTCTAGCTTACCGAACCCTCTACTGACAGATATGGTTACTCCAACCTCCATGGAAAACGTTAGGCAGAGACTGGACAATAATTCTGCAACACCAGGACTGCGTCCAAACGGCCTTTCTCCTTAAATGTCAAACTTCTAATGGGTATTCATCCAAACTTATACTTTTACTGCTTCACATTCTCCCTTGTCGTATTCTTCTGACCACTCCAATTATTAATTCCCTTATATTATTTATATATCAATTCCAAATTTCATTAACTATCCGTTTTTACGTTTTCTTTCCTTCTCTTTCTTTTAAGTCCACATAATCCACACTAATTATATATGTCATTATCATCATGATTATCTCTCTTTCGGGCCACACCGGGCGAGTAACGGGTGAAGGGCTCAGCTTGATTCACAAGCTCTTAGCACACACATGCCACAAACCACATATCAATCCCAGCACCAATACTTTTAGAGTCAACCAAATCCACAACAGTCAAGTGACGGGACGAACTGCACAGAAGTTTACCGAAGGCCATGAGTCTTTTCCTTGCAAACAAGGAGCGAGCACAAAGAAACCAATCTGGTTCGCATTAGCTCGTGGAAATGATATTGGATTATGAGCTCTCGGGGCCGTCACGACAACTCTATTGGCCCTTTGTTGAACTCATAGTACTGCGATTCTTGCATGTAAAATATAAAATATACGACATAAAATACAGAACAGGTAGATTCAGATGAACTACGTTTCACTGGAGTCAATAGGTACTGGGTGTCGTTTGTTTAACTTCATCACTTGCTGTGGGAATATGAGTGTTGAGCGTTATCACATTACATCTCTCGTTTCTGAGATTTGGTGTGTCGAAAAGTCCTGAAGTTACTCGCCATAATGGTCGCTTATAGAAGCCATTGTATGCCATGAATAGTTTCTGTAAGTAACTCCTAGTAAGCAGTATTATTCCATGAAGCATATTTCTGTGCAATTATCATGTTGATGTAAAAACAAGAAAATAAACAAATGTTTTAAATCCCCATATTTGTTATCCTTTTAGGAAAATCAAATTTAATAAGGCGGTTACTTTGTTATATTCAGTCTTCTGACAAATCAAGTTTCTCAAAATAATGTCAGAAAATATATTGGTCTGGACCAGCTTTTGCGGGAATAACTCTGCTTATTGGACGTTTTGGGTAAACTGAAATTATTATTGCGTAGAATTCTATAGAATGAGTCGTTTACGTGGAGAACCAATACTCCGGATTTCACAACTTGTTTTCAATTGACTATGCTTAGATGGGTTTCTCTTCTGTATCTTGGTGTTTCATTACCAATCTACGTAATATTCCTTTCAAGAAAGCCATGGAAAAATTCTTACAGAATAATTAGCGCATATAAGACCGTTCAGGTATGTTAATTTTCCTACACCCATTTTCTCAGTTTGCCACTATAGGTATTTTGTTAATGACATTGCTAGAAATAGTTATCATAACTTCAACGGCTGAATATGGACCAGGTCCTCTGTCAGTTCGAATATTAGATTCTGTTTGCGACCTGTTCATTTGGGTAAATTACAATATATAACTAAAATTCAGTCAACCGTTTTGATTCTTCAACGATACGAATTTAAAAAAGGATTATCTTCCTCAGGAGTGGTGATAATCTTCTGGCTTTACGAGCTGTTACGGTATCTAATAGCTTTTCGCTCTGCAATTTTATTTGCATCAACTTCGGTAAGTCAATTCCATATTTAAATTAATAGCAAAATGTAATATTGTTGTTTGAATCGCCCGAATATTGGAACTTTTGTTAGTCGATAGTTGTATTTCTGAACTCAGTGTGCTTGCGAGAGTCACACATATTGCTTGAGATGGTGCTAAGAATTCTATAAATTTATGGTATTTTGAAATCAGACATAGAAATGTATTAGCTTTAACTGTGACTTAACATTATTTCCAAACACTTCTCGGTTAATTCAAGATGCGATTAAGGTATTCAAGTGTAGACAGCAGATATTTGGAAATCAGATATTCAGCGTTCTCGATTGTAAGAGGAAAAAGTATGCGTTTGTTCATGTTAAAGTGACGTGGAAACTTAGACTTCTATTTTATAATTCTTCTAGTTTCCAAAATTATCTGACCCCAGGGAAACCATAAACCTCAAAGTGTATGTAGTGCATATGAGTAGTTCCCTTTATATAGGACAGTGTCTCCCATGGTCTTTAACTTATAAAAATGAACGAATAAAAACAGAGACGAAATAACATGAATTAATCTTTTTTCATCAATTCCTCTATAGTTGAGTATAATTTACGATGCATTTCATGTTTTACCACGAGAAAATGTTTAATTTTCTTTAGTTTATTTTATGGGAATTAACAATATCACAGTGGATACATAAACTGTTCAATATCAGGTCCGTTCCACACGTTTAGTTCTCAAAATATGTATCTTTCGCTGATCCACTCTACCGACAGCAAAGTGTTACTTTTTTACCCACGGTTGTCAGTGGGTATGAAATAAATGGACTTGGGATTTCTCTGATACTTTCTCACTTTCTCCAAAAGTCTGCAGAGGGGAATACTTCCAATGAATTTTCAAACTGTAGTTCCCCAAATACAGATAACAAAAGTGTTGTATTAATGAAAGCCACAATTTGGCTTAAAAACCCTGTGCCATTTGTGTACCTGGTCTATTTGCACTGTTTGTTTGGATATAGGGTTTTTCGAGTCATTTGAAGGATATTTACTCTCTTTTCATTCCCATAACAGATGCGAGAAATCAAGTTAAGTTTTGCCATCATTCTGAAGGTGCACTAGGTGTGCGAATTCAGCATACTTAAACATACTGTTTTATAAAGAATGGCTATAGCATAGTATGAAAGAAAGCTTGATCACACGTAGTCTTGGTAACACAAAAGTGTACAGCTAAATGACATCTTCAAAGTACTTGGGTAAGAAAATCAAAAATAAAGCACGCATTTGGCAGAGTGCTATTTGTTGAACAAAGCAAAGTTTGGTATAAAAGTCCTTTAGCTTTTTGGATAAAAACAAGTATGATTCACCAAAGTCATTTCTATCATTATTACAATGTTTTACGCGTTGTTTTTGACTACGTCGAGGAAGCAAATATTGTGACTGAGTTGTGCGGCTATTTATGAACCAGCTCACAAGTACGAGATCTTAAGTGAACTAGGTGAGATTTTTTGGTTTATAGACAGAATACACCTGAGAACCTAAACTCATGTCGATGATAGTTCACATAATGTTATTTTTAAGTTAAATGAGTATAGGTGACATTACTATGTAATTGTTGATTAGTATTTGATTAGTATTTCTGTGCCTCTAGTGTTTTGAAAGTTGGGAATGATTTGTAGAAAAGACTGTTGCAAAGGATAGAAAATCACTCCAGTTAGGTAAATAAAAACCACTTTTCGACAGATATGAAGTTCATAGATGACTGTCAAAAACAACCCTTAAATAATTTTCACTTGGTGTTTGTATCATTGAGTAAAATATGAGTATCGAAACCCGTTGCGAAAGAGATATAATACCCTAAATTTTTCATACAGTGCAAATCTTCAAGGACATAAATATGTTTTTTAATATTTCTGCAATTGCAGGGACATGATTCTTTAACACCGGTAATAATGAACGGGCTGATTCTCTTTCTTGTAACCATAGCCTTTTGTGCCAATTGTTTCGCCAGTAGACGTGACGATGAAGGTGACAATCTGGCTTTAACAAATTATAATTCAAAAACTGCTCTTGAAGAGAAAGGTAATGCATCACAGGTACGTCAGCTCTAGTGTGTCCTTTAATTCATGGATGAGTTAAAATACTTCCGTAAACTACAAACTCACTTAAACAATTTAGAAATCTACACAAAAGTGCACTGATACAAGTTAACACAATTCTTAAGGATGCACACAAAAGAAAAGAAAAGGAAGAACATATGTATATTTGTCCTTTTCTTTACTTTATGGGCAAGAGAATAATTTAATGGAGATTAGCGACAATTTTTAGAGCCTACACAATGAAGAGCAGTAAACATATGTACCAATGTTTACGATTTCCAGCTGTGCAACAAAGAATCTGTAATAGAGGATTATTGGCTAGCCAAGTGACCTACGTGGGTCAGACCAGTGGTGAATAACTTCATTGGCTTGAGTGACCAGTTGAGCCTCCCATCGAAGTTATTCGTCTCATTATTAAGCCTAAATACGTGTTGGTTATAACCCATCACTGTTACCTTTTCCATTTCTTTTGTTTTCTTTGTCTACTACTGTTCATGGCTGTTGAGACTAAGATTTTTATGCATACGTTTGAGTTGCCGTTGCTTCCTGTCATGTTCAGAGATTATCACGATTATTCTACTTAAGTCTATAGGCTCAGATTCAACTTTAAAAATTATTGGTTTGTATTGAGCTCTTGCTACAGGTTATCAGCTTTTTTTGTCACTTTTTCTGCAGCACAGTGGATATAGTATCAGACTTCCAGAGGATGAGAATTGTCATGTTTAGCTGGCCATTCTCTTAATAAAGAATTTATGTTCTAGTCTAGAAAGCTAGAAACATAAATATTCCACGTCTTATTTTCTATGTCCGGAATGACGTATGATTGAAATTCACGCAGGTAATTGTTCTAGAAGAATCGGAAGTTTTCCGCGGATCTTCTTCATCAACAACTTATAGCAAAGCGTTTATATCAGCAACCGCCAAGTAATACAGTATCTCTCCTTATGTTTGAGGTAAATACTGTCCCGGAAAAAGTAGTTATTTGAGAAAAACTGCAACAGACTACTTCTCTTATTGGTCAATCAGTAGGCAATCTCAAAGACACCTCCAATGTACACCACTACTTGGGCCTTGAAGTCACCCATCGAAATGATATCTTTTTCTTTAGCAGCAAACTGGATAGCTTCTGATGAAACACATCTTTCGCTTTATCCGGACTGCACCCTGTGGTTAGGTAAGATGAGATTACGAAGTATTATGGTCTGTACTTATTCTCACAAAACTGTTGGGCTGAAATGTACAAAATGTTCGTTAGCCACATTCCGATGGGGGAGTCATTTTTCCGCCTCTAAGTCTATGGCTGTTCGTATACCAGAACTAATAAAAGAATCTCCTGACATCCGTAATGAAAAATCTATAGGTTCATCACACCAGCCAGGTGGAGTCGAGTGAATAAATACACATAGGTCTTCTAAGCATGTCTCCGAACTGCAACATACACAGCATTTCAGATAACATGGCGACACCAGAAACGTTAGAAGGTTTAAGAGAAGATGAAAAAGACTGTTTGGATAAGTGTCAGCAGTAAGTGATAAATAGATACACTTTCTGTGGACTGCTAATTTATACCATAAGGTTGACTTGCTTTCAGAATCCCGAAAGAGGTTAGTTTAACCACCGAAGAGCGGTGGAGACACCTAATTGGTCTGAGTAATACACTGTCTGATGGATAGCAATTCTTCCGTACAGAAGGCGTTACTGATGAATAATTACCGACGTAAGATAAGGCGGGATGTACAAGCTTTGAGACAGATGCTTTATAGTCCTTCCTTCTCAGAGTAGGAAGAAAACATAGCTGCCTTACTGGTCATTCGAAGGAAACATACAGTCAGTGTAAATGCTTTGGCTATTACAGTATGCAAACAGAACCATTGCGTTAAGCTAGTAGGTGTGGGTCAAAACTGCATTTAATAATATTCTGGCATTCAAAGTTCATAAAAATCCTTTTAATTGTCCTAACAATGTTAGAATTTCGCAAAGGTCATTACTTTTGTCTCAGTACCAAACGTATAGTCAAAACCTTGAAAAGTCTTCTCTGGGTATACACTCAAGAGTGAGAGTAAGTGTATGACAAAAAATTAAACTTTACGGTGTACATCAACAGACTACTAACTTGCTACCAATAAGCAGACAATTTGAACGTAGAAGACCGACAATGCCAGTGAAAGCTTAAACCGAAAATACTTATTTTGGTCATATCACAGTCAACTTTTGTATCTTAATTTTTAGTTACAAAAGTCTTGTCCTGAAGAAAATGCACCTTTCCTGTCACGGATGACATTCTTTTGGTTCACTGGGTAAGTTCTTAAATGTTTATTTGCATTTGTTCTGCTAAGCGAATTGATTACAGCATGACTTTAGAACAATCACAAAACTTGACTTAACTTCTGAGCCGAAGTAAACATCCTGTTAAAGTAACCCTACTCTATTGTATTAAGTAATAAGACTGGAATTTACAGTATTAAGTCTGATAAGATGACTCACAAAGTAAAAATGCTTTCCATATAGTACAAATCATCAAAAATCATCAGATCGAATAGTTTAACTAGTCGACTAAACTGCAGTTCTCAGTAACCAAGACTAAACAAAATGATTAAGGTTTATGCTAATAGAAGTATGCATATCATTCCCACCACTGAAATATGAACGACATATAAATACTTTGAGTGGTGACTAATTAGGTTAATTTTGTGTGAATTCCTTCTTACATAAGATTTATCTGGTAGACGGGCATTCTTTTCTCATCTCTTCTTGTTCGTTATTGTAAGACATGAATTACTTTGAGTAGGTTTCTAAAGTATAGTGACTATTCCTCAGAAAAGACTGCTGTTTAGAAAAAAACTCACACTCAAAATACAGTTAGTGTATATTGAATCAATCCAATATCCCAGTAATATGACTACCGGTTGTAAATAATAGCTGGCATCTTTGAAGTATTGTTTGAATTTGGGTTTTCGGAGTAAGTTATACACGAAAATGTTAGTGTATTAGGTAAACAGCATTGGTTTTCATATTAATCGGTCAAGTGGACTGATGCGTATGTATGTCTCGTCACTCTGTGCTTTAAGTCCAGTTGAATCATTGAGTTTGTAGGTCAAATCCAACAAAGGATATAAGAGGGGAATTTTTAACAGGTTGTGGTCTATTATCTTAAGCATTAGAATCTCGACCGATGGGTTCTGGGTTTTGATCCTACTCCACATATTTCAATCCAGGTAATTGTAAAGTATCATTAACCTTCATACAATAAGTACTGCTCATAACTTGGTACATGAAAAATCTGTTGCGGATAACTGAACTATAACAACAGCTTGTTAAACGCTGGAGTACTTGAAATCGAAAACTAAGTCAAAATCTGTAACGCATCTATTATGATAAACCTGGTAAAAGTGATGCATAATCATGTATGTGTGGGGAAATTCATTATTATAATTGCACTGAGTAAAAGCGCGATATGAATATTAGATGAAGTAGTATCTAATTTCCAAATTTATCTTATTCCTGTTTGTGTAACAGGCTTATCTTGAAAGGATTTCGGAGAACTCTGTTTGCTGAAGATTTATGGAAACTGTCCGACTCAAACAAAAGTGAACGCGTTGTGGATAGAACGATGCGAAATTGGCCATCGACATTTGAAAGTATTTCACATAGGTTAGATACAGTCGTGTTTACTAACCACCATTGTTTTATTATATTTCTTCAAGATATTGGAAAGCACTCATGTGATAGTATACAGAACAACACTTCTATAGAATTTATTGCACAAACAATCATTGAAATACAACCATTAGTTAAGTGATATAAGCTGATAAATTCGGTTGGTGGAATTATTTTAGTGTGTATTTGTATAGGTTGCAATAAAAAATTAGTTAGTGTTCTATGATATAGAGTACAATACCTTATAAGGCCGCGAATAATCTGGGTAGGATGATTAATTTTTGCAGGTCTTTCATATTTCCACGTAATTTAAAAATCAACTGCTCCCAGTTAGAGATAGCTGGACAGTAAGAACAAGTTATTAGATCTGATGAATATTTTGTGCTATAGTGTGAAGAAAAAGAAAGATGAAACAGTTGTGTAGCTTTGGAAGATCTCTTATGTCGAGTGATTCATTATCTCGCTAAATAACTTAACAATATGGAATCCACGTCTCATAATCTAAATGCTCATAAAAGAGATATTCATAGAATTCCAGTCGTCTACGAGTTGGTTGGACAAAGTGTAGCTGATCTGTTGTGCTACGTCACGTTAGTTGGTAACATTGTAGGCTATCCACAAAGGAACTTCAGTACTTCGCCAAGATAGCGATATTTCCCACCAGAAAATTAATCTTTGTGGTTTTTCTTTTAGGGACTATAGGAAAATAAAAAATACGATAGTCAGGTCTAACCAACATATAGCAGAGTCTTTGTTCGGGTATGCAAAACACGGAACAGTGGAATGAATGATGCTGCATTACGTTGAAGAAATAAGTTTAAGTTAAATTTTAGAGGAATAGCAATCTTCTAATTGAAGAATATGCGTGAAATCAATTAATTTCGACTTAGATAAGCCAAACTACTTTAAAAAGTTAAATGTTTTATACATTAAACTCAATCATAAGGTTTCATAGATAATACCTTACTTTGAAATAATTTGTTTCAATTCAGAATGAATGAACAAACTAAACATGAACATATTTCAAATCTTGAGGAATATGAGTTCAACGCATATTTGAATAATGGGATGCCCGATAAAGTGAGCAGGCCTTCCCTTGCATTTGTTTTACTTCGTACATTTTGGACTGATTTTGCTGCAGGATTTCTGCTCAAACTGTTTTGTGATATTTTAACAATAAGCCAACCACTTATTATCAGGTATGTATCATATCTGCAAATATATGAAATTTTGTCGTACTTCAGGTAACTGTTTACTTCTATAAAACTTAAATGTCTTATGCAGCGAAACAAGCCAAACGTGATACATCACTTTGTGTAAAAGGCGAAGCCATCACTATTAACCGACTATTTTACTCCACTTAGAAACTCATCGATTTAGGAAATTTATGTATCAGAAGAAGAAGGCCGTCATTCACACACTAGGTTGAAGTCCCTTAGTAAGAACTTTAAATTCAAGTCATTCGCAAATTTTTTGTGAAATGTTTACTTGAATCCAGAAGTTGTGGTACTATTTTCTTTCACATTCTCTGGAGGCTTTATTCACCAATATTCGTCTTATTTTCTGAAGAAGTTCTAAAATGTCGAAAAAGTATCAAAGGCTCACATTTATAGCATTGCAAGCATGTTGGAAGTAATTATTGAACAATACACTTTATAAATTCTACCACTATCCAAAGATTAAGATTCCTTCTTTGAGTTCAGAAAGTGTGCCTGATGAACCTTCCAATAAACTGGTGGCAATCTGAGTAAATTCTTTCGGTCTATTCACTTTAAAACCATAGAGCCAGATTATTTGGATGAAGTGCCCTGTTTTAAAAACACCAGCTTTGAGGCGTTTTGAACCAAAATGTCTCTTACTATCGATTCTAATTGTGAATAGAATGAATTCGGAGGGAAATAGTCCTCATCTCTTATCAGCACTTTTATATCGTTAGTCACTTATCATGTATCTGAATAAGTTATCTTCGACACTCGAATTCTCAGTGCGAATTTCCGTAAGACTACCAGAAGCTTCCTTTCTATTTTATTGTCACAACGACTCCTCGTTTGTTTGTGTTGACATTCATTTCTTTTTTAATTGTCGATCTCACCTTGTATGTAGTTGATAAGAAGGTACCGAAATAAAGTGCCTTTGGTATATTTTACGAATCCATTCATTCCTTGTCCCCGTTTTTGGAAGATATATAACACAAACAATAGTATGGTTAGTGATTATAAAAGACAGTTGTTACCTATCTGTTAGTGCAGCTGTATAAGCGAGAATCACAGAAGACTTAATAACAGCCTTTGAGAATCCCGTATTAAATTATAATGCTACGAATAAGTAGTTGGAGACTGTTGATGACATGGTACAAAATTGCTGACGTATTTACTCCTTAGCACTTTACAGATTTTAGAAATGCCAAATAATCTTTATTCAATAGTTTTTCTTATTCCTTACATTTAGGTCTGCCTTACTTTTAATCTAATTAGATTTCCTTCCTCTACTCTGATGTGCGCTATCCAGAAGTGTGACAACTTGAACTGGTACACTTTTCTGCAAAGTCCTATATCGGCAACTTAGTTCAGCTCAGCCCAGCTCATTCCAGATGATCTCTCTGTGAACGAGTTAAAGAAATTAATTCATAAGCTGTAGCCTAAATTGTGTGAACAATACGGTGACAAAGAGCGATCAATTACGTGATGAAAGTAGGTGTAAGGCTCTCTGTTGCAATCAATAAAAGTAACTTATGCAGACAAATTTCGGTTCTGAACATTCTGCACAATGAAATATTGGATGTGGTAAACATTTATGGTATTAAGAAAAAATCCATTTTTTAATCGAAGAATGCTTGTTCATTTTACATCTCTCTGTGTAGTTAGTTATCAAGACTATTTCTGCAGTGAATAAATAAATTTAGATCCTGTCTTAAATTCAACAAACTACATGTCTTATATTACATAACTACCAGCCTAACTAATTAATATCTTTAACACAGTCATAACAACAGTGCTTATGCGTAGATTTGTTCTAGTTGACATGTTCTCAACCGTTCTAAGTTATAGTATCACAAAATGCTTAAAAAATTTGAACGGATTAAGCACAGGCCACTTCAATTCCTGCATATTATTGTTTTGATTTGCAAGTGCCTAAATACTATACGGTTGTAGCAGTGGAGACGATAGCCAATGATTCGATTGAAAGATATCGGTTAGTTTGCATAACATCGAAAGAGAGGGTAGAGGGAACTGAATTTGTTACATCACTCAAATTGAAATATAATCTAAAACCTTTTTCTTCAAATAGTCTTCTAATCGTTGCAAATTCATCCTCTGTGAAGACGATTTAGACTTACAATAAGTGTACATTTCAATGAAGCAAATGGAATCTATGTGTAAGGTGGAGTCGCAGGATAAAGTTACTTTTTCAAATTTCCTCACGAAATTGTCAAATGGTGCCATAAAAGCGAATTTACATAAGCAAACTGCATGGGCTGCGTGAAATATATATATTTTTATAGGACTCAGGTTAACTACCCTTCTTTTGTCTATCAATTCCGTTGCTCCTTAGAAGATAGTTACATAGGCCGTTGATCTAAGAACTTAACTTTTCGTGTACAAGGACACTTATCAGCGTGGTTAAATAAATATGCGGCAGAAACATAAATAATTTGACATAAGCACACCTTGGCCTAACAGACGTCAAAGGAAGTATTCAAGAACTAGTTTCCATCATCTATCATTTACGTATTAAACTGTGTAAAGCCAGCTGTGCGTCGTAGGCACAGCGGTTAGGACGTTCATGGTCTGGAGTTCGATCCCCGGTTGACAGAAACAAAGCTGGTAAAGAGGAAAGGTTAGGCATGAGTCTAGCAACCCCATCCTGTATAAGTAATCATCACTGCTACAGAAACTTCGAGCTGGCTCTAGCTTGAAGCCCTATGTTCCACTGGGAACGTGAAGGAATAAAAAGAAGCCAGCTAGTACACAGGACGCCAAATAGTATAAGCCAGAATAGTTCATCTGAAGCAGCTGTATTCATGTCCATCCACTCTTGCCATCCTTACCGGCTGCAAAAATTATTGAATTTAAAATGATGCAGATAAGTCATCTGATGAAGTATTAACTGGATAATTCAAAATACAGCTCTAACATTTTAGTAAGAAGGCAGAATAAGTGGTCTCTAAGAAACGATACAAATCTAGGGATGGCTCGTGAAGATTATACACAGCGTGAATCACTGAAGCTACACAAGGAATACTAGGAACCTGCGGCAGCCGATTGGCTGACTGCCCTTCACCGTAGAACTTTGCACAGATGTGCAGTCGTTCAAGCAGCCACACTCCATTTAGCAAACAAAGGTAGAGAGAAGAAAGAAAAACAAATTCAAGAGAACTATAATAAACAGAAATGAAGGAAAAACAGGCAGATTTTATGGATATGGAAGATTATGAAGAGTGGACACGTCTGCGCCAATGAGAACGATTTTGAGCCATATCACCAACAGTTCCCAGCAACTAGTTCTTAGCATCCTGACAAACCCAACCAGGGCAACCTACACCTTCCTAGATGGCTCAAACAAACTGTCAAAGACTTCATGCAGTGATTCCAGGTTTTGTTTCACCATCCAAAGCCTTCTTCCAATCTAGTCGTACATGAGCTCGTTGACATGCGCAACACATGCCCTAGTCATCTCAGTCGAAACAGCTTTACAACCTCATAGATTGACCCTCCCTTCTTATCTAACTAACATTCACCACCTACCCTCAACTCTATTCAACATATGAAACCAATTAACATGGAGATGGAGCTCAAACATCTCTGGTCAAATACAGTTGGCATCTTCAAAGTTTCCCAATTCCTTCATGCACTTATTCCTCTTTATGAATCTAAGTAAAGCAAAAACAACAGTTCGTGCAGTACAAGATGGTGACATCGTTTATTCTGTCATCTTCTCATCGTCTGCGCACAGTCGAAAAAATTAATTCAGGCTATGTACAGAGCATTTCTAACGCCCTTTCAAATGTGACATAATGTCAGTTAATAGAAGTCTCCGAAATTTATAAACAGTGCTCAGGAATTACACCTATGTAACTTGTACACTGAAGATTCGAAAGTAAACAAAACGAAAGGAAAAACAAATGTTTGGATACAATGAAGA